CCCATGTGACACCCTGCATCGCTGTAGAGAATTACCACCAAGAAGACCCTCACCAGATGTGTTCCCTGGACTTTGGACTTCCCAGCCTCCAAACTGTAAGACATAAAATTCAATTCTTTATAAATTACCCAGTTTCAGGTACTCTGTTATAATCAACTGAAACAGACTAATCCACCTAACACTTAGCTCTCGTCTTGTGCTCTATTCTTCCAGCCACGCTCTCCTCCAGTCACACTGTCCTTCTTTCTCTCACATCCTTGCTGTTGCTCTGCCTGGTCCACTCCTTTCCCAGCTATCAGCACAGTAGCCTCTTCTCCTTAAAGAGTCCTTCCCTGACTGCAATGTCTAAAATGTTCCCCTCTCCACACTCACTGTCTCCCATTTCACTTTTATATTTTTTCTTAGGACTCATGGCTAAGAACATATTATTTATTTAATTTATTTGTTGATTGACTATCTCTTGCCATCAGAATATAAAAGCATGAGGACAGACATTTCACCTATTGCATTATATGCTTGAGAGCATCTCATTTACAAAAGATACTTAATAAATATTTTTAATGTTATCAAATGAATAAATGAGCCATGTTCTGCTAAAGTTCATTACCACCCACAATATCAACCAAGGGAAGTAGTGATAGGCAACAGAAATGAGAAATGAAAATCATGGGAAGAGAAAGCAAAATCCCAATGAACTCCTGTTTTTATTTCTCTGTAAAATGAGACAATATGAAGAATTTATATTAAGGAAGTAGTAAGTGTTGGATCAAACAGGTAATACTTAAAATTATACTGAAGCAAACTGTCCAGTCAGGATAAGGTTGATAAGCTTAAATCCTCCATGACAGGGTAGAACAAAAATTGGTAGTCTTTTATGTAGGGAGAGAAATTGAGTTAATACTGAAGCAAATTTACTTGTAAATCCTAATTTTAGCAAATAGGAGGTCGCTTGTTTTAGTCCCATTATGGAAAACTTTACCCTCACACAGGGTCCCAGACCCAGCACTCCCAATCACTGCAGCTTCCCGCGGCAGAATAAGTGCAGAATTCTACTCGGTAGCAGGACACCTTTGGTCTCCTTTAGACTCGGTGCTCAAGGACGATGCTGAGAAAAAGATGCAGAGGGCTGAAAGCCAGGGGCTTTCAACTTCACTGCAAGTCTGTTTGACCATCATCACATACTATTATAGTTAACTTGCATCATAACTAAGTGCAAAGGGATGCACTAAAATGCCTTTAAAATTAAATTGTATTTAAGTGACAGACATTATACTCTGAACAGATAAAAACTATTTAACAGTGACTCAATTATCATCAGATTAGAGGCAGGAAGTAGAAAAGACAAAGAAACATGTAAATAACCACTATTTATTTTGTGAGCCTGCTCAAACTTCATATGTATTTGATTCCAGGATAGAAAAAAAAGTGTGGGACTGTTCCTAATAAGGTAGTAATTACAGAAAAGAATGACAAGGGTCTCGGATTTACTGAGGAAGCTTCATCTCAGATGAGTGTGATAAATTTTTATCTTCTCTATTTCAAATATAACCTTCTTCAGGTAGTGAAAATGAATACACTGATTTGATGCAGCTGACTCTGCTGTAATCATGTGAAACAATCATGTGAAGCAATCATGTGACTCAGCATTCTGTTTTTAAAGCTCTTTGTATAGAAGGTAAGAAAAAAAAAGTGAAGTAATTGTTTATTGGGCACCCTCTATGTGCCAAGACTGTTGCTATCTCATTCAATGAAAAAAAAAAAAACAACTATGAAATGTATTTCTCCATTTTACAGACGAGGAAACTGAAGTTCAAAGAAGTTAAGTCATGTGTTGTTTTGGCTCTCAGAACGTGTGAAATTAAACTCCTTTGCTATTAAGTCTTAAGTTTCTTATCCATGCCAGTTTTCATATGTCTGCTAATAGGAACTTTAGTGTTTTGTTTCCTAGTAGCATGTCTGACTTTCAGAAGTCTAGGAAGTTATTGTGATGTCCAAAAACATATACTTTTCTTTGTTGAAATTCGCATTTATTTCCACTGTCACCATTCTAAACTCTACCTTCACTCCAGCAGTAGCTGCAACTTGAAATCTCCATCTTTAGGTTCTGCTTCTTTCTTATGATGGTGATCCAAGTCATTGAGAAGATGAGTCATTAGGTGAGGAAGGGAAACAAATCCCAAATGGAATGCATGGGATTGAGGTCAGTAGCTGTGTGTGGCTGTCATTTGCAACTGAAATTCTAATGCATTTCAATTCAGTTTTTAATGGATTTCTATTCTACATCTACCTTCTGAATCAAAAATGTTCTTTGCCAAGAAATAATTTCACTTTGCCTTCACTTCCTCCTGCAAAATGGAAGTAATATTGATTTGTAAAATATTATGGAACCTTAGGGCAACCAGTACCTTGGAACTACTATGAAAGCTTATCTATCTAAGATGTTGACAGAAAGCATACTGCTAATTATTTTTTTAATCCAGTTATCTAACTATTAATTCAAGTTTCTTGAAATGGTCCCTAATTATTGCTTCCTCTATTAAGACCCAGTCTACACCTGAAAAACAGAATTATAGAAGTCCTTTAAAAATATATATATGTATAAATTAAGACTAGAAAAAGCAAAAGAGGCAAAAAGAATGAGACTAATTGAATAAATAAACATGTTAATCATCACAAAATGGATGGATAAAAACTGTCAATAAAACACCAAAGATAGAATATATATAAAATAAAAGCACTTCGCTTATTGAAGTATTAAAAATAAAGAATTACTGATTAGAGCAAACAGAATAAAGTTTAGCAACAATACATTGTGGCCAGCTTTCTAACTGCAGGAGTTAAGCATAAAACTGAATAGAGACCTTCAGTTTTTGGCCAAGAAGCAGGGACTGCATTTACTCTCACTCCTTAAACAACTAGGAAAGCAAACCAATATATGAAGCAATCATTTTTATGCATTGGACAACAGGTAGCACAGGACAGTGACCCCTGAGAGAAGGAAGACATGACATGATCATTATGATTTCATCAGCTTACTGCCTGGGAGGTAATTTCCAGACCAAAGCTCAGGGAGATGAAACCCAAACAGAGCCTGAAGCTCTTGCTGAGTTGTGAAGTTAGGATAAGACATCAGGGAAGTCAAGGCACCTAGAATTTATAGGACAGGGTACCAGACAGGAAGGAGCAACACAGAGACAGAACTCCAGAGATGTGGGGAGGGGACTTTGGCTGCATACTGATCTACCTGTGCATGAAAGGAACCTTCCCAAGGCCAGGGCAAACACCATGAACAAAAAGTATCCCAAACAGAATAATAGTATCTGTCTGTGCTTTGAGACCCACTTGCTAAACTGAGATGGGACCATTCCCCAGTTATAACTGGAGACCTTACCACTTAATCAAGTCAGCAAATGGCTCAGATCAATGTCCAATAGGTACCTTAAGTCCAGGCACAATAAGTGCCTGAGCCACCCCATAGGATATCCTCTGCGTGGTCCAAGGCATTTATACATCCTAGAAAAATGGACCTTTAACAGGAGAAGGGAAGGAGGAGCTCTTGTACCCACACTTTGGTCACAGACAAGGGCACATCAGGACTCCTGGAGCCCAGTGGATACCACCAGTACCTAGGCATGGCTTGGAGCTAAAGAAAAGAAACTTAGTAGTTACCATTATTATTGTTAGTTTTTTAAAGGGGATATTTATTTGCCCTTCTCAACTTTTTGTCACTTGCTGGAAGACCTTGGATTATTTCTAATCTTAGTTTTTACATGATTCCCTAGAAACCATCACAAACCCTGGATTAAATCTCTCTGTCTGGATTCAGATTGACTTCTGGAAGGAAAATTCCCCAAACCCAAACTTACCGAAGCAATGTTTTAAACACATCTGAAACAGAGCAGAACAAGGGTTTAAACAGAAATAAAAAACGTTTACTACATTCCACCAATTTTATTGTTCGTCAAATTGAATGTCTTTGAGTTTCAAGGAGATTGTAGATATGGAAGATGAAAAACTGAGTTTAACTTATTTGCACAAATCTTTTTTGCCTCTGTCAAAATGTAAGCCCTGCCCTCATTTCTTCCTAGCCAATGCCTGTTTCATGACCTGTTCTCTCAACTCGCCTTTGTCTTCCAATCCCTGTTCTTTCCCATACTTTCCTTCTGCATTCTCTTTCTGTTTCTTATGGCTCTTTTCTCTCCTCATGCCCACCCAACTCTAAACTCACACTGATGCAGCCACTGAATGTGCTCATAAAACAACCCACCCAGCACACTGTCTAAGAGCATGAGGCGGAGGGCCCATGCACCTGGATTCAAATTCTGGCTCTGCCACTAAAAGGCTGTGTGACCTTCTGCAAGTTACTTAACCTCTCTGTGTCATAGTTACCTTATTTGTAAAGGCAAGCATTAATAATATATGCCCTGTAGAGCTACTTGTGAGAATTAACAAGGTAATGCACCTGCAGCTACTAGCACAGTGCCTGGCACATGGCAAGCTCTCAATAAATGTGAACTATTATTATTAATAGTGTTGCCTTTTACTTGGGGTTTTGCTTGAGGAGCCACCAAGGTCATAAATAAAAGGGAATTCTGGTACTTAATTTTTTTTCCAGAGAGGAAAAACGGGACAGGATAGATTCAAGGCTCATCTCATGAGCTAAAAAAAGGAGACACCCATGAAGACACTAGGATGTGAGAAGCCTTGAGAACTAAAGCTCTGTTTCTTATTTCGTCCATTCACTTTCCCCTCCTCAAAAATGTGTAGAGAGAAGGCTTTAGCATCTGGAGTCCTCAGGCTCAGGATATGGCCTCAATTCTGGACAAGCAACACTGTGTTCAGAATCACTGTTGACCAAAATTCAATAGATCCTTTTAAGCCGTATCATAATACAGCAAAACATCAGAAGCAGAAAAAAACATAATGTAACTTACTTTCTAACAGGTTGTGGAAACTGTGAAAAAGCTTGTTACGCTGAGGAAGAAATAGACTCTACTCACCTGCAGGAGTCTACTTGGCTGATTAAGGTTTGTCCCTTTTGCAAAGCATCAGCTGTGCAGTCTTTAATTTCTCTGTGTAATTCCTCATGCCTCGCTGCCAAGACAGGCAGACTTAAACCCTCTGATTTAAGGAGCTTAAGGTAAGCTTCAACTCTTCCAAGTACATCAAATGCCTGCCAAAGAAAACATACTTTCATTTTCTGCTTTCTAGTTTAAAATCTACACCGATGTGTACACAAAACATTAGCAATTAAACCAGACCATTCAATTTATTAGTTTGATCATTCAAAAAAATTTTTTTTTACTTTTGGAAAACAGCTGTATAGTTTTAAAGCTCCATTTAGGGAAACTAATCATAGCTTAGTTTAGCATATATAAATGTCAACACCATAAATTACCAAAATAGTTTACATTGAGAATCTATATATACAATATAGACAGTTATAATTGTATAGAGTTTGGAGAGTCTGCTTTATTTTTTTCACATTTTATACTGTATACAAATAATGGATGAGCTATTTAAAAAATATTATATAGGGGCCGAGCCCGCGGCGCACTCGGGAGAGTGTGGCGCTGGGAGCGCAGTAGCGCTCCCGCCGCGGGTTCGGATCCTATATAGGGATGGCTGGTGCCCTCACTGGCTGAGCAGTGTGGCCAGTCTCAAAAAAAAAAAAAAAAGGACAAAACAACAACAACAACAACAAAATATTATGTAGGCTTTCATGATCTGAATATTTTTGTATACTCAAGAAATTACTAATGCGCTTTGCTCCCGAGCCCGCGGCGCACTCGGGAGAGTGTGGCGCTGGGAGCGCAGTAGCGCTCCCGCCGCGGGTTCGGATCCTATATAGGGATGGCTGGTGCCCTCACTGGCTGAGCAGTGTGGCCAGTCTCAAAAAAAAAAAAAAAAGGACAAAACAACAACAACAACAACAAAATATTATGTAGGCTTTCATGATCTGAATATTTTTGTATACTCAAGAAATTACTAATGCGCTTTGCTCCTTTGCCTTTTCATATATAAGACCTTCAGCCTACTCCATTCAAGGCATCCATTTGTCTACAGAGATTAGAATTTGATTCTGAGGCAGTGCAAAACACAGACCAAGGTAATATTTAGGTTCTGACATGCAAAATAAGATAATGTAGAAAAAACATAGCCTTGCATACCAAAATATTGTCTCAAGAGAAGATTTTTAAGTTCCTTAATTTTTTTCTTTATTAGCAGATAAGCAACTACCATGGGGGATTAAGCTTATAAAATTAACATAAGAATAGAGAGGAGCTATCCATTTGTCGTTAAGGCTGAGTTGGCATTAGATGAAGGAGTATATGATATAAAGACAATGAAAGAGGACCGTGGTAATATGAGGAAAAAAGAGAGAACTCAGAGTACAGTGGTCTTCATAGAACTCCTGATACTCCATCTCTGAATTTTGGCCTGGAGAGCAAGAGATGAGTTAGGCACATTGAAGAAATGCTGAACAGCAAGGGAACTCTTGCCATGTTCCCCTTTGGCACCACTGGAAGAAGCCACCTTCCAGAATGCTCCACACCAATCTGGAGAACACTCCTATCACAGTAAGCTTGACAGTGCTGCGTAGTCAGGCGAAGGCCTTGAAGTCTAGCCTTTCCGGGCCTTGGTTGGAAGCCAGTGAATTTGGCAGGGCTCACCAGAGGGTGAGAACCCCACAGAATGCTCTAGGGAGAATCCCAGACCATGAGAAATGAGAACAGGTGGGTTCATGAGTCCAGTATCACTAAGACCTGAGAGAGGCCAGAGGAGCAAGGCTGAGCTGGTGCTGAGCAAACTCAGTTCAAGACACAAGTAGAGGCTGCAGCCGTGGAGATGTGTAAATGCACCTGTTCTGTGCCTGGCTGCATCCTAGGAAGGGAGTTTTAGTGGCAGAGTTGGAACTGGACAATTGGAATTTACAAATGAAATCTCTCAAACACTGACTTATTACTTACATGTTGATATTCTGTTCTCTCACCAATGTCCTCAGTCTTCCAAATCTGCTCTTTCTATTTATTTAGCATGTTTAAAACAAAATCATTTCCATTTATTTAGCAGCTAACAGGAAGTGATAATAACAATATGTACAGATGAATAAGAACCATGTGCTTGCTTCTATACTGTGTACTGCACAATCGCTTCTCAGTCAACCGACAAATAATGAATACCTGCTGAGCTCTAGGCACATTGTCCTCAACAGCCCAGAGAGGGAGCAGGAAATTATTTCCATTGTATGACTGGGAAAACTGAGCCTCAGAGAGGGTAAGTAACTTGCACAAAGTGACACTTCTACTAAGTGGCAGGTTTGGGATTTATACCCAGTTTTGTTTTCTGTCCCAGAGGACCCTGCACTTAAATCTCGGGCTATGGTTCCATGTGGCAAAGGACTACTACAGGAGGCTTAAGAAATAAGGGATATCTCAGAGAAGCCTGTAATTTTGGGTGGAAAAGGTGGGATTTTTCAAACTTACTTCTTGTAAACAAGCACCTGCCTTTCTTTCTTACAGGTAAGAAAAGATACAAAGGAGGGTTGAGTGATTTCTCTCATGCTATAGGACAGTAAAAGAAAGAAAGCTGTATTAAAGGAACATTGAAACTCAAGAACTCTTCCTTATCTGATCCTTTTTTTCCTGCAGTTGGCAACAGAGCCAAATGCAACCAGCTGATATTAGAAAAGAAGATGAGTTTATGACTTTCTCCATCCTTCCATAACTCATTGAAATATCATTTGGCAATCACCACTGTTTCTGGAATTGTGTTTTATATTAAAAAAATTTTATTGCTTATTTTGAAAAAAGTGGAGTCTCTTGTTAATTGAGGATTGGTTTCAAAGTCAATGCCTAAAGCAAAAATCTGATGTAATCAAAATTACCTTGAATTCCCTCAAATCACTGTTAAAGCTTAATATATATGAATTAAGTTTATAGTAATACATTTTCACATTTAGGATTGAGAACCCTTGAGCTACACTAAAGGAAGAAATAAAGGGAATGTCTCTATGTAAATGTCAGGGGCTTCTCTCCTTTCTTCTTTTAAGATAATTTTCAAGTTCCTAGTGTGAATGGGGGAAGGATGGAGAATTGCGAAATACTTTTTCTTCCTCCAAGTTTATTTAACTCCATTCTGTTTCAATAATAAGCCACTGTAACCTTAACATACGTCATGTTTGTTGTTGTTTTGAGAATTAAAGAAGAAAAATATATGAAAGTTAACAAAGCGTGATGGCAGACATGTAGTGGGTACAAAGAAAATGTATTCTGGCTGTTATTCTAAATCTTGATTAATCAAGCATATCTCTAAAAAGTCACTGAGAAGAGCATGGCCACCTGCTGCCTGTCATTCATCCCACATGGGCCTTTCCTCTTGTGGCCCCGCTGAACAGCTGCCTCTCTCAGATCCTCAGGCATTGGTCTCATCTTCATGGGAGTTAGATACTAAAGCCAGGAGGTCATCAAATGCTTGTGTGAGATATCGCTCCACCCCATTCCTGAGTGTTATAATAAAAGTATTATTTCCTAATAGAATGGAAGTAAATTGAAGGGCCAAACATTCACTAGAAGAAAGAGAAGATATATCAAGGACAAAGATAACCCATAACTTTGAATCAAAACAGCCATATTTTCTTCCAGAGTTTTTCTCAAAAAGATCAAAGTGGTAGGAAAGCATTTACTTATGAACTGCTGTTTGTAGCACATGTAGTAGAACTATGGCAACAGAAAGGAAGTGAGTGATTTCATTCCTTCATTAGCTCAACAAATACATTGTAAAATACCTATAGATAAGGTGGGCTGGATGCTGTAAGAGAGCTTGTTCCTTAACCTTAATCCGAACCTAACCTAATGGGAATATTCACTCTGAAGACACAGAAATAAGGAGCTAAACTTCTTGATTTATGGAGGAATCCTCTTTCAAGAAGATCATACTGTCTCTGATTGTCTGAATCATATGCAAAGCTCATTTCTCTTACTCCCATCTAGAATTTGATGAGGAATCCATGTGTCAATTCCAGAAATGATCTAAGTATCATTGCTCTCAGTTAATCTACCCCCAAAATAGAACTGAGTGCTTTTCTATTTACCAAATCCATAAGGAATCTGATATACTGGATCCAGCCTGGAAAGAATCTCTCTGTTGGACACACAGTACAGAATGGGATATTTCTGGCAGTAAGAACATTGTGACCCCATTTAAATGCCTTTGGAATTAATGTTTCCCCTTTAGTTTTTCTCTTCACATTCCCCTCCTTCTTCAAACCTTGTGTGTGCAAGTCAAATAAAGCTTTTGTGAGTGGTTTGGGGAAAAGGGATATAGCATAAGAATAATATTTTCTCTCTCTGGGTTCTAGCTCTTGACCATTTTATAAGGAACTACAAGTACTCAATTCTTAGGCAGACAAGACAAATCAGCTCTTTTTGGCCCTGTTTCGGAGAAGACTAAGGAGCTGCTTGGTTTTGTTCTTTAAAATGCTAATGAAGACCTTTTCCCTTTTCTCTTGTGAAGTACAGGATCCAGGGCAGGCTGCACCAAATCAAATAAAGATGATATCAGGACATGGCACATTTTATTCTTTTAAAAATATCTGTGAGACTAACAATTTAAGCAAGAACCATGTGTCATCCTGCATAAGTCTTATATCATGCTGTTTCACAAAGATGTTTAATAAGTAATACTGTTTCCTTCTTGACTAATTTGCAGAGAATCAGCATTAAACAACAACAGCAAACAAGCAAACATAGAAACCTTGTAAATTTCCTTTCGTGAGTCCAGGGACCGGATGATAAGTTTGGTTGGTGACTTTACAATTACCAAGGACACCAAACTCTACTCAGCTTCTAATTAGAGCACTGAATCTCACTACCTGTGGAGATTTGGCGTTCCCCCTTGTTCAGTTTTTATAAACACTGAAAGCTTCTGTTTCCTTTCCTGCGCACCACCTGAGATAACTTCTGGTGGCTCCCGTCTGGCAAGCTGGTTCTTCATTCAGGTCCTGCCCCAATCTGTCAAGTTTTCAAATGCCATGAGGGCCAGGGACATAAAGGTGATGTGACTTCCAGCTCCCCTTACTGCTTATTCCTTGCCTGTCAAAGGTTGTATCTGCTGGGCCCCAGAACTCCCTCCTTGTTACAAGGCAGATTAGTGTTGTTAATGAGAGATGTT